TTTCCCTCTAGTTTCCTGGATCCTGTGAGGCAGAGGAACTCTTTAGGCTGTTTCTGTTTCTCTTCATCTTACACATGCTGAAGGAAAGGCTTTTTACTTATTCATATCGCTTCTGTCACTTTGGATGGACCCAGCCTGTGAAAACCCTTGTTTCTTGCCTGTGGTATTAATGAAAGCTTCCTTAGCATTGCATTGATGTTAATTGAGAAGCTTATTGGCAGCAGAAAAAAGGTGAAGAGCAGCAGTGAATCTGATCTGTCGCATTCAGTTCATTCCGATTTGAAAACCCACAGCTTATATGATTCTCATTTGGAAAGCTATCTTCTCAACTATATGGGCTGGACATTTAACCGTTAAAATAAGCAAGTTCTAAATAAGTTTGAGGCTTTAGGACTCCTGTCAATTTCTGTGAGAGGCTCCACTGTTAGCAAGTGGAGCTCCCGAGCCTTGACTCTTCCTGGGCCTTTTATTTGCATTAAGTAGTTGATGCAGTTGTGTTGGAATGTTTTATTTAGCTGAAGTAGAACCACTGCATTATTAGTTAAGTGTGTAACTGGACGTGGAGTTCATGAATGCAATCCTAAAATAGTTTCAATACGTCCGTTCTAAGAATCTTGCAACTGGTCTATCATAGCAGTATCTAGGGTTAAAGGTAATTTTTTTAAATGAGGAAATATTAAGTCAAAGTTTTGACGAAAGATAGGTCTTTTACTTTGTAATTTTCTTTCTTTCAAAGTGAAGCAACTCCGAATTAGTGTACTGTTAGTGTTACTACCAACTAGACTTTGTTGAAAGTGAAAGAGCCCTGTAAATAATATATTTCACATTTTCTTTAGTATCAGCATTTCTAGAAGTATAAAGATGCAGTTTACTTACGACAACTGCTCTTTCTTCTAGGGTCAGGTATTTGAAACGTACAATATGGCAGCCTTGTGGAAGTTACCATGTATTTTCATCTGTGAGAACAACAGGTATGGAATGGGAACATCAGTAGAGAGAGCTGCAGCCAGCACTGACTACTACAAGAGAGGAGACTACATTCCAGGGCTCAGAGTGAGAGCAATTTCCTCCTTTTTCTTATTTTATAACATAGTATGAACTAAGAGGCTGCAAATTCATACTTCATTACTTAAATTAGGTATTCTGATACAAGTTTTTATTCCATCTACTTAAAATGCTATTTTTTTAATAGATTGATGGCATGGATCTTCTCTGTGTGCGAGAGGCAACAAAGTTTGCAGCTGAGCACTGCAGATCTGGAAAAGTAAGTTACTCAGTATCCATCCTTTACCATACCATACCCTGTGCTACTATTTGCAGTTGCTGAAACTATTTTCAACATTATCAGTGAGTTTCTCTTCTTAAAATTGCTAAAATATTTATGTTAGTATTTCACAAAGGTATTTTACAAACCACTTTGTTTTAAAATAAATGCTAAACCATGTAGTTAAGGCCCTTGAATTTCACTTGTTTTAAAATATGTTCTTCAAATATGTTTTGAATGATTTCAAAACAATTTTATTCCCCAATTAAAAGATAGAGGCAAAAAGTTAAAAGATTAATAACCTTGTACTTTTAGTAATATAAAATGAAGCACAGTTGTGAGAATAGGTACGGAGAAGTCTGAAAACAAAGTATACACAGCAATGTAGACAAAATTGCATGCAGCGCTTCAACACTGAAGCACTTTCCACCTAAGATATGCATTGGTTCTCATAGAATGAAGCTGCAAGAACAACCTATCAAGGAAAGTTGTGGACACGGCTTCACAAAGTTACATCCAAAGTCCCACTTGAAGTTGTTTCAGGAGAACGACAATTTTCTGTTTTGCAGAGTAGAATGATTTAAATCATCAGTTTGTCATCAAGTAGAAATCACCCATTTTAATCAGCCTTTCCCCATTTGTACTCCTTATTTCCAAAGAAAAGCACATTCTTATTGTTTGATACCCATGTTATAACATGTCGCTTTACAACTAAACAGAGTCTTTATGCCACATTTTGTCTGTGTTTCCCCTCCTCCCCCCCCCTACCAAGGAAGGTGCACACAAACATTTATAGGAAATACATTCATATTCTTGCACATTTTAACATTTTATTTTGCTAGAAAATAGTGAATGTGTTGGTTTGCTTACTTACATAGTTAACCTTTTGCCTAGTATCTGTTAGGGTAGTAACAGAAATTTAATCCTGAGGAGATCCTAGATGGTATCTATCTCCTGAGTTGCCCACAGGGAGCTTAAGCTCTTAAAGCACAAGAACCTGTTGTACCACATGTGTGTAAAACTTGATCTCAAGCTGGCTGTTGCTCCCCTGTTCCTACCTCTTATATAGCCTGCAACTTGATTTTTTTTATAGAAGCTCATGCATTCAGCATAACTATTTTAAATGTTTTAAGAACTTACAAGAGGTTTAGGCCTTAATATGTTTGGTATTAAATTCAGGTTTCATTTTAAGAATTTGTTTTTAAAAACAAAACTTCTGAATTGCAGAGTTGGAAGTGACCATAAGGTTTACATAGTCCAACTCCCTCCACAGATGCAAAATGTGCTTTACCTGACCCATCCCAGATAGTTGTCTATCTAGCCTCCTCTCAGAAACCTCCAAGGAGGAGATTCCACAGCTTTCCTAGGTAGCTTGTTCCATTGTCCTACTGTTTTGTAATAATACATTTTTTTAAATGTTGTTTTTTCTCTATCCGGCCATGTTGCAAGAGGTCCTGTGTAACGCAAATGAAGCTAGGAAAGAGGGGTAGTTGGATTCATTATACACAAAATGAGTAGCTGATGTCAATGGGTATTACTTGCAAGGGGTAATATGCGAGTATTAGTCTTGAGCAGGGTTACAGTGCATGGGCCAAGTCTGGCCTGTGAAAAGATCTGACCTGGCTTGCAAAAGTCCAGTCTGGTATGGTATGGGGGAATGGTAGCATAGAGCTGTGCTGAGCTGTCCACATCCTACACTCCACAGCTTGCTGCGTTGTCACATCTGCACTTATCCCCATTGTAGAGGGCTGGGGATCAGCAGCAAAGGTCAGAGCAAGTAGCTGGCTGCTCTGGGAGGCGGGGACTTCTGGGTGCATTTTAAAGGGTGGTCCACACCAGCAAAAGGTTCCCAACCCTTCGTCTTGAAGGTTATGATAAACCTGTAACCTTTTTTGGTTTACAGGGACCTATTCTGATGGAGTTGCAGACATATCGTTATCATGGACACAGCATGAGTGACCCTGGAGTCAGGTAGAGTGAATAGAACTGTGTAAACTTTAATCTTCTTTGGTTAATCTTCATAGGTGGCCTGCTGAATGGAAGAATTCACATGTTTTCCCTTGTCTGTCTTCTGTTTGTGTACACCACTAAAATTTAAAAAAAACCCCTAAATTGCAAAACATTGCAGTGTTACAAATACAATAGTTTTACACTTCATTCTTAAATCTGCATTTGGGTGCCTTAAAGTTACAGTTGGAATTTTTTTAAAAGACTTGATCACACCATTTCATTTCACTTCGTTTCCCATCAACCAGTGGTGCTGTCACACTTTGCAATCTATATTGTACTCATCCTAGTAACAGCTGATTCAGTTGTTTCAACTTCTTTCCAGTTACACATCTGTAAACTCATGAGTGGATATAACCTGAAAATAATGGAGTGGTGCACACATCACTGGGTGTCTTGTTTGCTTGTAGACCCCAAATGTGGTATGAAAGAAGGAAAATGTCTGAGTCCATGTTTAAGCAAGTAAGACAGATGGTTTGGGGTGGACTTAGAAGATCCAGTAAATACAGCATTCAGCAACACTGTTTTAAAGGATCATTTTTCAGAGATCTGCATACTAAAAGGCTGAATATAGCTTGGGGAAAGTGGTGGCATTTTGGTAAATGCATTTGTCAAATACCTGCAGCTAGAGGGAGAACTGACATTTGACAGCGTTTGTGTAAATAACTATGTTAAAAGTCTGGGTGCTTAGAATTTTCCAAAAGTTCTTTTACCTTCCAAAACGAAATAGTGAAGACATACTGTATTACAGAGATATTCTCTCCTATAGATTTAACTGAATGTGCTACAGGGACCAATCTGAAAATAGGGTGTAAATGTGGGATAACTATTTTCTGTTTAGGGTTTCCCTGTGCTTCCCCTGCTATAGAAATACAAGTGTGTAGGTACTTCTTGTGAGGCTTTCGTAATTGTCCTTTCAAACTAAGTGCCTAACCAGCACGAATTAATTTTCAATAGCTTACATTAGATAGAAAAACATGCTGTTTGTGGAAACAAATGAACTGTCTAAGGCCCCTCTGCAATGGGAATTCCAGTTCCTTTCCTTAAACCAGGGATAGGCAACCCCTGGCATGAAGGCATTTTGCCTGGCACGCATGCCTCGGGGCAGTCAGTGGGGAAGCAGCTGGGCCTTTGCTCCCACAATAAGGATTGCTACCCTCATGGCTCCCCTGCCATTCACCCCTGGCGTGCCAACTTCTTACAAGTCAAGGTTAAAAGTGTTTTTTATACTCTGCTCAAAAATGTTGCCAACCCCTGCTTTAAATAGTCATCTTTTTGTTCAGTAGTTCTTAGTTTTTCTTATTATTTCATGTTATTTTGCTTAACTTTATATTCTTCAAACTGCACTGAGTATTACTACATATGCTAGACCTATCAGTCAGCCCTTGTGTCTCTGGGGTAGTGCACAGAACTTCACTACTGACTCTACAACTACATCCTTATTGTGCATAATGTGTGTCCTCTCTTATTTTTCTCCTAGCTACCGAACAAGAGAAGAAATTCAAGAAGTGAGAAGCAAAAGTGACCCTATTACTCTGCTGAAGGACAGAATGGTTAACAATAACCTTGCTAGTGTTGAGGAATTAAAGGTATTGCTGAGACCGTGGGCTGAAACATAGCACACCAATGAGCCATGCATTCCATGCAGTGGCCCCAGTGATAGAGTGCCAGTACCTATCCCCTTGCGCTGTATGAAAGGAAGGAAAAATACTCATTTGTTTTCCAAACTAAAACGACTGTTCTAACTAATGGCAGCAAAACTATATCATATAGACCAACTTACAAATTTGTAATTTAGGGGAAATGTTTTACTGGTTATATGTTGGGAGTAAAATACAATATTTCCCCCCTCCTCCCCTACTTGGGGTTATAAAAGTTCTCTAAGTGGCCTTGCAAGCCCTAGGGATTAACTGTGTTGAAGACAGGGAAAGGTCTTCAACAAAGGCAGAATTCTAACAGGGTCCCAGCAAACCCACTCTAGTATCTCCATGCATGTGTCAGATAGTTTGCAACGGCCACGGTTAAACTTTTTGTACTTCCTTTTCATTCATCTGCTCTTTATCAAGATGCATGAACAAAAGAAAAGCTTTTGTTTCACTAGTCAGTCCAACAAATCTGGGAAGAGACACAAATCAATTAGAAAGATAAAAGCCTCCATATAGCAATTCAGTTCTGAATAATACAGACATTAAGAGAACTTACACAAACGTGTGGTATGAATTACAGCTCTATTAGTTTCCTTTAACTTGTGTGTAGGTTTGAATCTGGAAAATGAAACCATTTAATTCTGTTCCTGTTTAAAGGTTCCACCCACCAGTCTTGAGAATTCCTGCTAGTGGAACTTTTATTTGAATACATTGCTTCCAAACAAAAGTAAATGAGGATCAGAAACACTTGCATGCTATTTTTCATACAAAATAGGTTATTTTCCTTGTTTAAGGACAGTTGGGGCAGAATATACCATCTTCAGTGGAGTTGCACCCACAGCCTTGTAAAATGAATCATCATGGTTGTCTTGAGCTTTGCTTCAATTTTGTTCTTTAAGCTGAAAATCTAATAATTGTTAAAGGAAAACTTAATCTTTGTAACTGTACCTAGTAATAAGTTTAGAAATGCAAAACTTAGTGTTAAAATGATGATACCAGAGTTGGTTTGTTTTTTTTAAATATAAATCATTATTAATTAGTTGGGTTAATTACCACAGTACAATCTCTGCAACTGTCTTAACAGTTCTTAGCAGTACCAGATTTCCACAATGCTGGAGAAAAAAAAGCCAAGGATACTGCTGAGTGCTTGGTGTGCTTAACTGTTTTTGCAGCTGCAGACTTTGCTGATAGGTTTGAAGGTGTCTCTAGCAGTGAGCACTGCAATATCTTAAGACTGTGTAATCATGATTGTCCTGGAAACAATGAGACTAATATACACTTCCTTTTGGCACTGTCTTGGAGTTCAGTTTGAACTAGTTAAGGCCTTTGTGTTTGATTTTACCTCTACACAAGGGCCAAATCCTGAACATGTGAATCTCTTTACTCAAAGGAGGATCTCTTAACAATGGTTCAAGTAGCATGTCTGTCTGGACAGTTAGGGGCAGAAACATTAGTTCTACACTTATAATTGGCCTTTTGTATTATCTGCTTAACAAGTTGTCTTGTTCTTTTCATTTAGGAAATCGATGTAGAAGTAAGGAAAGAGATTGAGGAAGCTGCTCAGTTTGCTACCACTGATCCAGAACCACCTTTGGAAGAACTAAGCAATCACATCTACTGTAATGACCCACCTTTTGAGGTGCGTGGCCCTAATCAGTGGATCAGGTACAAATCTGCCTGCTAAAATGAACATAAGTTACCCCAGGAGCTTGTTACATATGGCTTTTTTATTGGGATTAATTTTGTATTCAGTCTAAGAACTGTAAACTGCTCATCTTTAAAGTTTCAGTTTATTTAAAGAGCATAAAGTTTATTTTCACAGAGGGGGCTGTGTTGCTTTGGATCGTGTAAAGATAATGGATCTTACTTCAGAAGGAGCTGAATTAAGTTTATAGCAATTTAAATAACTGTTGCTTTACCCTGTTTCTGTGGTTTTTTTGGATTGCTGTATTTATGAGTTATACAAACTAAGTGTCTGAAATAAAATCATGGTATGTACAGTACACAGATATTAGCTGTTACACTAAAATGGCCTGGCTGTTTGCTTTGTGTATACAGGGTTGGTGCTGTCATTTATTAACAGATTCAGGCTTTAATTTATTAAATATTATTAAGGAGCATGATTGTCAACAAAATGTCCAGTGAATAAAAACAAAACAACACTACAAGCTTTTAAACTCTAAGAAACATTGCATTGCAAAGAGCAATTTTTCCTTTTGGTACCATAAAATGTTGATTGTTTTAATATATACAAACTGCACAAATATGTAACATCTCACCATCACAGAAAATCAATAATATCCCCTTTAAACTACTTCACACTGACACATTTGCTTCTAATCAAGTCTGTACCTTTGGGAACACAATTGTACAACACATTTAAAAAACCAATTAGAATACAAGGTATGTATTTAAAATACAGATTTCAAAGTGCAAAATTAAATAGTTTTTTTCTGCTACAGTTATTCTTATATTGACAAATAGTCAACTTCTTGATTACATTTTTACAAAAAAATTATAAGTTTAAGTGCATCATTAGAAGTGGTATTACAGGAATTAAAATATTAAGCATCTAGAAGGTAAAACTGCTAATACTGGCCACATATAGCCATTCAGTTTCTACCAGGAGAGTCACTGCTCTCCCAGTAGAAATGAGCGTACAGATGTTCAGAATTTTTCTCCCAAAAATGGCCTGTGCAGGAGAAAAGTAACTTGGAAATAACCAGGGGTAAATATCTGACAGAAGCTGCAGCAGAGTCCTGCAGAATGCCAACATGCTTTGCTGCTAGCTCTACCACATCCTCCCAGAGGCAGTGTCACTTAGCTCTCTTCTTGGCTGGGGCAGTAGAGCCTTCTTCCCAATCCTCTTAGTGTGCTGCAGGGAGACACAGTCTGGGTCAACCAATCGGGGTCACCCTGTGCACTACTGTTATCTCTTGCCAGACAGCCTGGGGAGCCTGTGGTTAAGTTTTTCTACCATGATCAACCAGGGCAAATTCTCCCAGATCGTTTGAATGTGTGTATGCAGCCACTGTCTTCAAGAAAGCTGTGCTAATATTCACTGTGCATTATACTAATAGTTAAACGGGGCATTTGGTTGTGCAAAATCCTCAGGACCAGTATACATACAGTATATACAACCTTTAGCATAAGAATTACTTGGAATGTATTTCAGTGTTTCATTCCCCTTACTTGCTCTCTCAATCAAAGACTTAATCTTCTGTGTCTGTGAGCTTATCACCCATTTGTCTATGGCTTAATATTGCATTCCAAATTCTGCAGACCAGACCACCACTATAAAAAAAAAATAGGGAATAAATCACTGAATTAGGTGCCATCTTTTAAAACAATACAATACTTGCAATTATAAAGTGCCTGGGAGTAGTAAAGTAGGTTGGTTGGTTGTTTTTTTCTGGATAGCTCCTATGCTCACAAAAACTTTTAAAAAAAGGGATCTGGAAAACCTACTTGTTAAAAGGAGAGAGTTGGCCAAAACAAGCTGGGAATAAGGATCGTTATTGGTCACTATTTGATTACTGGCCAATAATCTTTTTGAGGTTAAGATGAACCATTTTAGTTAAACTCGTTCATTCTTTCGGTAGCAAGTAATTCTTTAGCACTTCTTCCTTACTAGCTCAGGAAGAGATCTGCCACTGAACAAAAAGTAAATAAGACTGACAAGCTAGACCAGATCCAGCAAACTTAACAGTTTTATCCAAAATAGGCCTTGGTGTCCAAACCATCACATTCCTCCAGCCCTACATAAATAGCACTTGCTTTTCTGTTGTTCATAATATAGGCATACCAGTTTACTATTATAGTAAACTTCAAAGACTATTTAAAGACTTTTTTCTATTAAATAAGTTAATGATGAAAAGGACCTCACACTAAAAAAAGTTTAAGACAACAGGCAAATGGCTACCAGATTTCTAGAGGTATTCAACAATTCCTTACCGTAGTTTGAGGTATCTCAAGTCTTCTTTACCGATATTATTAAGGACATCGTTGAGAGTATAATCCTCTTCAGCAAACTGAAAAACCAAGTTGTTCTTAGAGTAGTAGTTCACTGATTGCAAACTGATTTTAATAAACAGCAAATAGGCTGTTTACTTTTGCTTTTTACTTTTGCTCTGTGGACTTCGTTTTTTTTACCTTCTTTATTGCATCCGAGTCCACTCCTTGCTCATTCAACCAGTTGATGAGCTCTGGATCTACATTCTGGCTGACATCTGATAGAGGCTCTTGAAATTCTGTAACAGAATCTGAGTTACAGTTAGGCTGCCCTTTGCGTGTTTACTGTTCTATGTCCCTGGATAGGCAGTCTCTCAAACTATTCCAAACCCCATATTAAAGCCAGATGAAATTACTTAGCTCATTTGAGTGTTTAGTAAAAACTTCTATCTAAATCCTTACTGGTTGGAACCGAGCAGGTAGCAGACATCTATATCCTACCTGCAGGCTTGGACTTTAACTGAAGCAGATGTAACTCCAGGGTCCGCTGCTCTAGAGTTTGTCGTAAGAGGGACTGATATTCTCTCTCCTTCTGAACCAAGTTTTCCAAAAGCCTGTTAGCCAAACAGGTCATTTAAGGGAAAAGTTTAAAACAAAATATTCACATTTTCCAATGATTAACTTGAACAAACATACAAGGATTTATTTGATATGAGAAATCCATATTCTTGAGTTATTTTCCCATGCATCCACTCCCATTTGATGCCAAATACAAACACAGACTTCACTTTTGTTAGCTGCTGTCTCTGGGCTGAGGACTAAACATTCCTGATCACATATTCAGAGATTTTGCTGCTGGGGCCTTGTCCCATGTTCACGTTCAGTAGTTGTAAATCCTTGGAAGGTTGTGATGCATTAAAGTTAGCATTGGAATGCACTGACCTATTAAAGTTGGTACCTGTTAGGAGAGGAAAAACTTTGCAATGCCAGGGCCACCCTCATCTGAGATAGTATTTGAACATGCATCTCCAACTTGCCAACATCCTGCTTTAATCGCTAGGTCAGAGCCCTGGCCCCACATATCTCCTCTTGCTGCCTAGAAGGACAGCATCAGCAGGATGGCTGTCTGGATGTTAGAGGACAGTGCTGTTCAGAGATACAGATTCAAACCCACTTTTGAAGGGTGCCCAATATCTAGGTCTTCTACTTCCTCGGCAAAAGACTTAGCATTTGGTGGCAGCAGCTGCCTGGTGGTGTCATAGGCAAATAGCTACTAGCTTATAATGCTGCAGGGCCGCTGCTGCCACCTTCTCCATCTGAGAGCCACTGATCTTTGGCAGACACCATTTTGTGACATTTGCACGCCAAGCTGCTTGTGTGTCAACATGGCACATGGAGCAGGATTGCAATCTCTGCATAAATACCAAAAATGGTAATTACACAGCCGGGTAGCTGTCATTTGAATGTGTACAATTAACTAGTATTCTGTCTTTAGTTACTGCCATTTGATACTAGTCATGAGAACTCATGCACACAGAGGGATTCTACAACCGGCACCCTTACTTCAGACTGCTAATTTGTAAATAAATTGTGCATGTCTGCACAGAGTGGGATCCTGACACTTTGCTGTTGCAGGTTGCCCTGCAAGATATAGTGCTTAGTTTATTGCTGAGTATCAGGGCTGTGCAAGGCTTCGAACAGAGCTTCGGATCCGGAGAAGCTTTGGATGCTTCAGGGTCTGAAGCAGCACATCCGGGTCGAAGCGCTGGCCTCGTTAGGCTTCCCAAAGTGCTTTGGAGCCCCCTTGGAGATCTGGCCATAGGGTATAACGGGGAAAAATAAAATATCTATAACTTTGTTGTTTTTTGTCCGTTTTGGATTAAATTTTCAGGAGTGGTAGACTCTCCAGAGAGGATGAAGCATACCAAGTTTCAAGAAGACTGGTGGAGGGGTTTGGGGAGAACGACACCCCAAATTCTTGAAAGCAAAACTCATTGTCACATCTAGGCATTACAACATAGTGGGGTGAAAACTGCAGGAGTGTTAGCCTATGCCGAGACCACAAAGTCTGCCAAGTTTCAAGAAGATCAGTGCAGGGGTTTGGAGGAACTGCTGTTTAAGACGATTGGTGCAGGGGTTTGGGGGAACTGCCCCTCAAGCTGCGGACAAGCAAAACTCGTGCCATGAGTGCTTGTGGGACTGACTGTGTCTGTCTTGGGGCGGGGAGGGGAGACACTGCTGCAGGCCTGGCTGCTAAGCTACTGTGTTACCAGTTACCAATCAATCATGATTCACTCAGGGACTAGCTCAGTACACAGGACCTAGCTACTACATAACGACTTAACGAGCATCCATTAGCACCTACAAAACCAGGCTAAGGAGAGGAAAGAATCAAGACAGACACTGTCTTGGCACGAGTTTTGCCTGTCAGCAGCTAGGGGTTCAGGGCCCCAGAACCCCCCTGCACCTATCTCGACAGCTGGCAGGCTTTGTGGCCTCAGTAAGAGCTACCTGCAGTTCTCACCCCCGTGTTGCAACACAAGCCGTGACATGAGTTTGGCTTTCAAGAATTTGGGGTACAGTTCCCACAACCCCCTGCACCGACCTCCTTGAAACTTGGCAAGTTTCATGCTCTCAGCAGAGGCTACCATCCCTGCAAGTTTCATCCAAATCAGACAAAAAACAAAGTTATAGATATTTAATTGATTCCCCATTATACCCTATGGCGGGATCTCCGAGGCGGCTCCGAAGCTTCGGAGCCACTTCGGCTGGATCGAGGCTGAAACCCGGTCTGGAGCGCCGGATCGGATCGCGGTCATCCGAAACAGCTGGATCAGATTGCTGCCAACTTGCACAGGCCTACTGAGTATTTTTCTAAGTCCATTTAGTGAACTACAAATTCTTCTTTGACTAGAGTGGGGTTAGCAACATACAGCCTGCAGGACTTGGCCTGCGCAGCAGCCAGGAGCCACAGCAGGTGACTATGGCTGGAGTGGTGGTAGTGCAGGCTAGGTTGGAAGGGCCCATGCTCAGGAGCTAAGCTCCGGTCAAGTGGCCCCTGCTCCAAAATGCTGCTAA